TTTTTTAATTACTCTTTCATGCTCCTTGTTCTCTCAGCTCCCAAAGGTTGGCTCTTACTGTTCATTCTTCAGATGACAGTAACTCAGGGAAGGAGGACACAAGGATTTAGTTTGGAAGCTTTTTATAGGAGTAGTTTCCCCTTGTTTCCCCTTTAATAACTAATTCCTGAAAAAGTAAAGATAAATTTACCCTGGAAGTTTATTATATAGGGAGTTCTTCCCTTTAATTCCTGAATAGGTCAGAAAATCCAAAAAGCCAAAATTACATTTTGAAAAACACCCACACGCGCAAAACCAACCTGAGAAGTTGGAAGAGCATTTTATTCTGTTTGTGTGACACGGAATCAACTCAAACCAGCCATTCCATTGATTTTCTCAGTCCTGCTTTCTCCAGGAGACTGATGTTTCCAGTCTCGCCTAATTTTACCAGGACAGCTTCAATTTCCAAGAATTCCTCAATATTTAGGAGGAGAATAAAATCATTGATGGAGAAAAATGATTCCATGATCTGATTTTGCTGTGTTTGAGCCAGATACAAACAGAAGAAGGAGCTGGAGAACAAATTGGCCTCCATGAGCAGCTTTGTGGAGAGCGGGACAGCGGATGAGGATCAGATCCGGGAGTTTTACATCCTCCAGATCCAGAAATGGATCGGCACCAGCCTGGAGGAGGTTGAGAGCATTGACCAGGAGCTGGTGATCCTGAGGAGCAGGGATGCAGCCAGGCAGGTGAGGGAGCTCTCCTGGGATCCAGGTGCTGTGGGATGGGCATGAGGGGATGAGTTCCAGAGGAATTCAGTGGCAGATTTTTATTCAGTGACTTCCCAGTTGGAATTGAGCCAAATCACAGCATGAGCTGATGGGCTTTTCTCCATTCTGAGTTTTGGATTGGGCTCTGCTGCTATACCTTCCCCACAGTCCCAGCCTGTGGAATGCTGGAGCTTTGAATATGGGAGCTGAACTGGACTGTGCAAGGCTTTTCTGCAGATCCCTATTTCTGAAGAACAATTGGATTTGGAAATTAAAATAAGACCCTTTTGTTTTCTGTCAAGCCTCCACTCCTGGTCTGCAGCATGTCCAGGTGTTATCAGCCCATTTGGAATGACAGAACATTTCCCAGAGCCCTGCAATCCCCGTGCAGAACATTGTGTCCAGGATTTCTGTGACCTGGCATGTCTGCTGGGAACAGCAGCTCCTGATGTGCTGGCACAGCCTCCTGGCAGGGCTGGTTTGGGGGGGTAATTTTTTGGCACTGCAGGACTCAGATCCTCTGAGGTGATCTGGAGATGCCATGGAATGAAGGGTTCAGAATGTTCCACTGGAACAAGAAACATCTCCTGCTCTGCTCTGAGCTCAGCCCAGGCAGCTCTGCTTTGACCCCAGCAGGTGGCACAGAGGCACAGGAAGTGATTGCACAGCTGCAATTCCTGATTTAAACCAAATTCAGGCCTGGATTCTCCATCCTGGGGGGTTGCTCTGACAGCTGAGGTATTTCTCCTCTACAAGACCTTTAATAACTTCAGGATGGGAAGCAGAGGGGGAATTCTCATCCCCTCAATGCCTTGGTGACTGTTGTTTGCATCCCCAGGCTTCAGCAGGTCCCCGTGGCCCTTCCCGGTCAGCCAGAATTCCGATGAAACCCTTCATCCTCACCCGGGATGCTGCTCAGGCCAGGTAGGGATTGGGATGATCCAACCACACTTTGGGGCAGTGCTCTCATGTCAAGCCTAAAATACTGCATCAAGTGCAGAAATCCAGGTGGTGCCTTCATGTCTGCGCTTGAGTTTGTGGCACCCTGAAATCTGTGCAGGAATTTTGGCACCTTAAGGACAGAATGGGATAGAAACCAGATTTCCTGTCATGCTTGGGGCATGATTTATGCTGAGCTTTCAATGTATCTGCTTCAGTTTCCAGGGATGTCCTGGGGCCACCTTCCCCTATCCCAGGTTACTCCAGGCCCTGTCCAACCTGGCCTTGGGCACTTCCAGGGATCCAGGGGCAGCCACAGCTTCTCTGGGCACCCTGTGCCAGGGCTCACAATCCTCACAGGGGAGAATTCCTTCCCAATATCCCATCCATCCCTGCCTTCTGGCAGTGGGAAGCCATTCCCTGTGTCCTGCCACTCCAGGCCATCTCTATCTTTCCCTTGGGCACAGGAGGGCCACAATTGGGCCTCTTGCCTGTGTTCCTGCTCGTTCCAGGGGATGTCATTGCCTGGTTTTGGCTGGTTTTGTCCCACTGCAGGGTGTTTGGAGCTGGCTATCCCGGGCTGCCCACCATGACTGTGGATGACTGGTACGAACAGCGCCGGAGACAGGGAGTTGTGTCCTCCGCACACAGGGTTCCAGGTATGGAACAGAGATGGGAGCAGGGGATTTGGGAAGCCTCTTGAGAGGATGGGTGAACAGGGATGTGTGCAGGGTATGGAACACCCCCAACTATGGAAGAATCTAAGCTTTATTAGGAAAACAACTGGGTTAGACTATGCTTGGCCTGTCCAAGGCCAGCTTGGACAGGGCTTGGAACAACCTGGGATAGCAGGAGGTGTCCCTGGTGGCACTGGATGGGTTTGAAGATCCCTTCCAACCCAGCCCATTCCAAGGTTCCCACTCCTGCTGTCTGGCAAGCCCAGCAGGACTTTGGAGAACCTGGATCTCCTCCCTGTCCCTCCCCTCCAGCAGGTGCAAGTGATGAGGAGTTACAGAAGCAGCAGCAGGAGACAGAGGAGGAGAAGGATGATGAGGAAGCTCTTCAGAAAGCTCGGGACTGGGACGACTGGAAGGACACACACCCCCGGGGCTACGGCAACAGGCACAACATGGGCTGATGCTCTGGCTGCCAGCAGGGCCTGGAGATCCTGGGAGAACAACCTGGAGAGGGAGGCGGGAATACAGTGTACATAGGTGGAGCATCTGGGAATTCCCTGGATGGACAGGGGACAGGATGGCAGGAGGACACGTGACCCCTTCGCATTCCATGTCAGACTGGGGGCACTGGTCGTGTTGGGGGGTGCCCCAGAGCTCTGAGGGACAGTTCCGTGTGGGTCAGGCTCCCTGTGTGTGCCCTTCCAAGCAGAGCTCCAAGGGGAGCTCCATGGATTTGGAAACTGCTCTTTGTATTGTGGGTGGATATATTTATTTTTTTTTCCTCTCTATTTTAAGCAAAATAAATTCTCTTTGTGCTGCCTGGTTCTTGCTGTGAAATTCTCTTGCTCTTCATCCCGAGTTTTTCCAGGGGGTGAACCCCAGACACTCTCATGGAGCCCACAGGGGACAAATGGTGCCATATTCCAAGACAAAGTAGTCAGTGTGCTTTGAAACTCCAGAACAATCCCTGAAACAGGGAAAACTCTGAATCCCCCCGGCACCATTCCTGAATGAGGGAGGACACACCTGGCACTGAGCTGGCACATCAGATGTGTGCAGGAAGGTGAGGAGTCACAGCTGGAAGCTCTGGAAGTGCCCAGTGTGGGCTGGTAGCTGTGGAGGGATTTGTTCCAAACCTGGTAAAACACTGGGATGGAAAAGCAAGGCATAGCTGACACTGTGTTACCTGGAGCAGTGTCACCTGCACAATGCTTCCTTTCCCTGGGACAGTGGGATTCTGTAGAAGTTTGGTGGTTTTCCTTCCTAATAGCAGGATTTGGGCACAGCTGGGCTGCAGGAGTTGAGGTGTTTTCCATGCAGCAATCCCTGTTCTCAGAATTGATCCACACCCAGGAAGCTTGCAGGGACTGTGGTCCTTCCTCTCAGGTACTGAGTCCCTACAATTCACAGGAGGGGTTTTTGGGTTCCAGATCTCCCAGGAACGTTTCCTACTTTCCCACCACAATCCTGCAAGTGTGTTTATCCCTTTCCTACACTGATGGTAGCCAGCACTTCCTAGGAGTGTCTCTGGACAGCTGGATCCTGAGGAGTGGCTTCAGGGATTTATTCCCTGTGGATTCTCTCTGTTCTTGGGCTGTTGGCCTGAGGCCCCACCTCAGTGCTGACTCCCTGCTGCTCCTATTTCCCTTTCTCGTTATTTTTTCCCCTCAAACCTCTCCTGACAGCGCTCCAGGCATCCTGGGCAGGAGGCAGAGTGTCCATCCCGAGGCTGGGAGCAGCAGGAATGGTCTGGTGGCCGTGGAGCTTCAGGATGATATTTTTGGGTGGCTCTGGGGCTGTCACATGGCAGTGTTTGTGACATTCCCCCAGCATGGACGGTACCATTCCCAGGGGAATGCAGCAGAACCATTCCCAGAGGAATTCATCCACCAGCACCAGCAGCCAGGACTTTCCTAGGAGCAGCAACCTCCCAGCATGGCCACAGCTCCTCACACTCTGTGTGACCCTTCCAGGGATCACCAGTTCCTCTCCATGCTCCTAATTCCAGCTGGAGCAGGTTCCCTCCCCTCAGCAGGGCTGGTGTCCCTCTGGTCACCTGGTTATAGCCTCTGGTCACACAGCCCAGCGCCCTCTGATTGCCAAACTCACCTTTCCACCCTCGGCACCACGGGGCTCCTGCCACCATGAAAACCATCATAGCAGCCTGCTCCCAGAATCTCAGTGGTAAGAGATTCCCAAAATGGGTTGGGGTGGTTCCTGGTTCTCCAGCAACGTGAGGAGCTGGTGGTTGTCACTGTTGTCTGCTTGCTTGGGAGCGCTGAGGAGAAAGGGGGTGTTGGGAGCAATGTGAGGATAACTCCACAGTAAAACACACAGTTGCTCCACAGGGATTGAATTTTGGATGACATTTGGGAATGTTACACTCAAGATATTCCTGCAAATTCCAAATGTTGGATTTGCAGAGGTTCCTGTTGCTGTGGATGGGGCCGACAGCACAGCCCTAGGGGGTTCTCTGTGTCTGTGGTGTGGATATTAATGGGGATTTTGGAATAGGAGCTAGGAAAATGATGTTAAAAAGCAACTGCTCAGTGGGCAGAAGTTTGCTGGGAGGAGCTCTGTGTCTTCCCTGGGAAAAAGAAGGGTCTGGGTTCTGCAGGTGGTTGGGATTTTGGGGATGTGTGGTGGGTTGAAAGGATCACTCAGAGCCCAGCATGCTGCATGGGAGAAAAGGACAAAAAATCCCTAATGGAAAAATCCCCCATGGGCCAGAGATGGCTCCAGTGTTTAATTTATTCCACTTGTCCCACTCCTGTTAGGATTGAGCTGAAAGAACCGAATCTCCACCAGCTTCCTGAACCAGGGGCTGGTGGTTCTGCTCTGACCTGGGGGTTCCTGGCTTGGGGAACCACAGGCTGCTCCTGTGTATCCCTGATCATCTCTCTGCCCAACATGCAGATTTTTGTCGAGAAAATAAGGCTTTTGTGACACTGGGGTGGCTCTCTGGGGTGGTCTCAGTGTGGGGACCTTTGGCCAGGAGCTGGCAGGGCTGGCACCTCATGCCCATTTTGGGGAGCAGGGATGGGGCCAGGCTTGGAGTTTGGATCCTGGCTCCCAGCCCGGGGAGGTTAATGGTTCACCAAGATCGGCTGGAGGGAAGGGGTGGCAGGGGGAGTGGAGTGGCGGCACTGCCAGGGGTGTGTCCCTGTAGGGACAGAGCGGGACTGCCACCCCCGGCCACCCTGGCTCGGCCTTGCTGCTGGCCTTGGCACTTGCTGGGGGTGGTGCCGCTCTGCTGTGCCGGCTGAGGAATCCCCAAATCCCCTGTGAGCCTGAGCACGCCGAGGCGGGCACGAGAACGGTCCTGGCCTTTGGGAAATGGGTGTGGAACAGGATGTGCCACTGGCGCACGGGGCTTTTGGGCTTGACAGTGCCCAGGAGCTTCCTGCTCCGGGGACAGCCCTGATTTCCCAGGGCCACCTCCTGGCATGGTCCAGAGCTTCCTGGGGATGAGCATCCTTCATTCCACCCCCCACATCCCATCCCTCCTCGCCAGCTGCTCATCCTTCCCATCCCACCTCCCGCCGGTGCCCCTGGGTGTCCCCCGGCAGCCCGGAGCCGTGCTGTTCTGGGCGAGGGCCGTGTCCCTCTCTCCATGTCCCCTTCCTCCATGTCCCCCTTCTCCATGTCCCCCTCTCCATGTCCCCTTCCTCCATGTCCCCTTCTCCGTGTCCCCTTCTCCGTGTCCCCCTCTCCGTGTCCCCCTCTCCCTGTCCCCCTCTCCGTGTCCCTTCCTCCGTGTCGCCCTCTCCATGTCCCCCTCTCCGTGTCCCCCTCTCCGNCTCCGTGTCCCCCTCTCCGTGTCCCCCTCTCCGTGTCCCTGTCCCCGCAGGCAGCCGGGCCAGCATCCAGACTGCCCTGAGGACGCTGCTGGCCGTGCCCTGGCCCTCGCAGCGCGACGTTCGCTCCGCGCTCCAGCTCCTGGCCGTGCTGCAGTGGGTGCTCAGCTTCCTGCTGCTGGGTGAGTGAGCAGGGGGCTGTGGGGGTCCCGGGGGGGGCCACACACCCGCTCACCCCCTGCCCGGCTCCCGCAGGAACCGTCAGCCTCCTGCTCCTCACCTACCTGCTGTTCACCAGCCTCTGGCTCATCCCCGTGCTCTACCTGGCCTGGATCATCTTCGACTGGGACACGCCGGAGAAAGGTGTGGTGGCCGTGTCCCCGCTTCCTCCGGCTTTGCAGCAGAATGGGGGTGGGCTCCCCCTTTCCCCAGGTCCCTCCCAGAATGTGGGGAGCACCACATCCCCCCTGCTCCTTCCCTCCAGTCCCCCACCATCAGCAGCGCGGTGGGAGGAGGGATGCAGAGGCTCCACGGGGAGCGGTTCCCTCGGATGCTGCTGCCCACTGGGCTGGGCTGGGGTTCCAAGCCGGCTCCTCCCGGCTTTGCAGGTGGCAGGAGGCTGCCGTGCCTGCGGCGATGGACCGTGTGGAAGCACTTTCGGGATTATTTCCCGGTGAAGGTACGGCGCCGGGACGGGGTACGACCACCCAAAAGGAGGTGTCACCGTCACGTTCCCGTGACTCCTTTTGTCCCCGCAGCTGGTGAAGACGCACGACCTGTCCCCCCGCCACAACTACATCATCGGCTCGCACCCCCACGGCATCCTCTGCGTGGGCGCCTTCTGCAACTTCATCACGGGCTCCACGGGCTTCGAGGAGCTCTTCCCGGGCATCCGCTCCTTCCTCACCACGCTGGCCGGAAACTTCCGCCTGCCCGTGTTTCGGGAGTACCTGATGAGCGGGGGTGAGCGGTGCCTGCCCCGCCCGGCTCGGGAGGGCCCTGATCCCCCTAAGGGATGGTGCTCCCGGCAACAGGCAGGGCAGGGATGCTGCTCTGCTTGCGTTGTTCCTGAGCCACGGCTTCACCTCGCACCTTATCTGCACCTCGCCTGAGCTGCACCTTCACCTTACTCGCACCCTGCCCGCTTCTTGCCTACACCCCGTCTGTACTGCTCCTACACCCTTCTGTACCGCTCCTACACCCCGTCTGTACCGCTCCTACACCCTCTCTGTACCGCTCCTACACCCTGTACCGCTCCTACACCCTGTACCGCTCCTACACCCCGTCTGTACCGCTCCTACACCCTGTCTGTACCATTCCTAACCCCTGTCTGTACCGCTCCTACCCCCTGCCCGCTCCTTGCCTGCCCCCTGCCTGTACCCTCTGCCCTCTCTGCCCCCAGCCCGCCCTCCTCGCTCCCTCCCCGTTCCTCTCCCACCTCCTGCCCGCTGCCCTCCCGCAGCAGAGGGAGCCCTTGCACTGTCCCTGCCCTGGTCCCAGCAGGTGCCATCGCTCGGGGGGACCCTCTGCGGTCCCTGTCGGGTGCCCGGGCACTGCAGCGCCACATCCCCGGTGCTCCGTCCCGCCGCAGGGCTGTTCCCGGTGACCCGCCGAGCCATCGGGTACCTGCTGTCCCAGAAGGGCACCGGCAACGCGGTGGCCATCGTCATCGGCGGCGCGGCCGAGTCGCTGTCCTGCCGGCCCGGTGTCACCACGCTCATCCTCAAGAACCGCAAGGGCTTCGTCCGCATGGCCCTGCGGCACGGGTGGGTCACGGCTGGGTCAGCAGCACTGCCACCCCCGCGGGTCCCGGCGGTCCCCAGCGCCCCGTCACCACCCACCGTGTCCCCTCCCCAGGGCCTTCCTCGTCCCCTCCTTCTCCTTTGGGGAGAACGACCTCTTCCGCCAGGTGGTCTTTGAGGAGGGCAGCTGGATGAGGAGCATCCAGCGGCGCTTCCAGAAGATGATTGGCTTCGCTCCCTGCCTCTTCTACGGCCGCGGCCTCTCCTGCCGCTCCCGCGGC